TCTCTACTAAAATCAAACTACCCCAAAAATACTTGCCAAAATTTTCTTACCCAAAAAGAAATCCAGAAATCGTGAATTTCATACCCCAAAAAAATTATTCGCACCTCCCCGTGATCGCGTGAGTACCCACCACGCCCAACCCTGCGACGCGCGCAGAAAAATCGCGTGACGAGCCACAGGAGCGTGACGTGTGAGCAGCCATGCAAGTCACCATGGGTAATACACTTGCGGGGAATTGCTCGGTGTTCTTTCCAACGTCCAAGAATTATTTTCAGATCTTGCGATTGTAACCAGTGATTCCTTCATGTCACAGGGTCTCAAAATTTACGTAATTGAAGCATAAGGTGTCAATGAATTGCCGTTGTGGTTGTTTGCCAGGAATCAATGGGCCATTCCATTTAATATCCGCACCCCCCCCCTATTGAGGGATAAGGAAATCCTAGGGGGAGGGAGGGGGTCTTGGATATCAAATTTCCAAGGGGTTAATGGCATTTTTTCTTTGTTCTTCACATGTTTCCATGGTAATGCACAGATTTCCCGGGGAGGGGGGGGTATTGGCGTCTCGGAAATGTTTTATCCAAAGGGGTCTTACAGGAATCCCTCAATAGGGGGGGTGCGGATATAAAATGGAATGGCCCAATTATTGATTCAGTTGCTTTCTTCTCCTCAACATCAACCGAGTGTGTCGATCGAGCAAACGCAAATTATATTTATCACCGGACAGGTGAAGACAGCTGATTATAAACTGTGTGACAGGAAAAGATCTAGACTACTGTGTTGCAAACTACTTAGCCAGCCATGGTGTTATGGCTGGGATTGTTGCTCCCAGTTGTTGGAGTTCTCGCGCTGGCGATCTTTCTAGTCTGGACTGTTTGTGTGGTGTTATATTTTCGCATGCCCCCATGTCTTGAGCCACTTGATACATAGGTATGTATAAGAAATACTATCTTTAAACGACGCAATATTGACCTGCCCTTGTAGTTAAAGTGAGTTTTAGTATGGCATCGTAAGATTTGCCTTTTTTGCTCTTATAAATTACAGTTATCATATCTGAAAATTTATCCAGTCTGAGTTGAAACGGGCGTGTGTAAAACTGTTTTGAGGTTTCACTAACGTTAAGATTTATTGTATGTGTTCTATATTGGATAATTTAATTTAAGTCCTTAATGTTTTGTCAAAGAAACATGATTGCCCAGTAAACGTACACGTAAGGGTTCTTTTAATGCGATTATTTGCAGTGCTTCCTCATTGTAAAATATGATATTTACTTTCTCTTTGTTATCAACGTCACGTGATTTTATAATTATGCAAAGAACCAAACTTTTGGCCCGAACATGCATGTACCCTGTTATACACTTGCATCAGGACTTCTGAAGATGTCCCAACCTTGTACGTTCCCTTCAAAATCAGATAATTATTTTATATTTCTCAAAAGTGGTTCATTTGAGGTTTGAAGATTTGAAAGCTCTTGAAAATTTGTGAGCCAGGCCGGCCGGGTTTGCAGACACTGTCTTTAAATCAGAGAAACATTAACCCAGGTCATTATCCTGTCAGTTTTTGCACAAACGTTCAACAATCTCTAGTCCTCACGTGACATGTTTGTAAATATGCGAAACAGTGACATTAGACTAGATAGTTTGAGGGCTGGATACAAGATGAAATAAACATGGTCATGCAGTATATTCCGTGGGCAGGATGTGGGAAAGTTAGTTGACGTCTTTGTTGGGAAGCGGGAATGAACAGCAAGTCATGACAGGGTTTTGTTTGTTTTGTTTGGCACTTTAACCATAGTTAATAAAAGGAATGGTTATGAAGCCCGACAAAAGTCTTTGTTATATGTTTTTGTTCGCTTTTTTTGGCCTTGACCCTGCACAAAACTGACAAAATACAATAGGTGTTTACGTGTGTTCAAGCAACTACCCAATAGAAACGTTTCGATTACGTAATTCATGCATAGTGTATGAGCGCAAAACAAAAGATTGTGCAGGGTCGTGGACCTTCCAACAAAAATCTTGGCGTCTTTGTTTGCTCCTTTGAAGTTTGCCGGGCTTCATAACCATTTCCCTCTATTAACTATGCTTTAACACAATGTTCTTTATTGTATTGTATTGCGCCTGAGTACAAACAGTGATACCATATTTATGTAGCAGAAGGTTATTTGTACTTTGGATTTTAACCAAAATAAGGGAGTACCTTTCTTAAATAAATTTAAAGCTATGAATTGCCAACAATTTCTGTGAACATTTTATATCCCAGACTGATGATCCTAAAGGCAAGTTTCACCATAAAGTACGTATCAGTCGGAGACTTCAGATTTAGCTATATAGAGAGAGGGAAAAGGCAAGGAGCAGAAAATGTCATCTTGATGGTTCATGGTTTTACTGGAGATAAAGGTGTTTGGTGTCTGATGGGGAATGCCCTCCCCAAGACATTTCATCTGGTTGCTGTAGACCTTCCTGGACATGGTTATACTACCCGCAAACATCACGATGATCATTCTATTCCAGCCCAAGCTGCAAAGCTTCATCAGGTAAAATTAACCCCTTCTCTTCGTGATTTCTCCTTAAGTAAAGTTAGTAGGGGTTGCGAATGGTCTATCAAAAATAGCGAATCTCGACAAATTTAAGCCGAGTCTCAGAATCTCGGCGCTTACAAAAAGCATCTCGGAATCTCGGGCTCGCCAGAAATAGGACGTTCTCGGAGTCTCGAATTTTGAATCTCGCAAATGCAGCTTTTTTATACTCTAATCTCCGAGTTTTGGATCACTGCATCTCGTGCTCGGATTTTTTGGAGCGCTAAGTCTCAGGCTTGGATTTTTAAACCAGCGTCTCGGCAAGTCTCGAGTTTACCATTCTCCGTCCCTGTTAGTGTCCATTCCGCATCAAACAACAAAATCATGCTGCGGTTCTTGAGAATAAAGAAACAGATCACTAACTTAGGGAGATGGTCTAGTTGTAAGAAAATGTTCAGACCAGCAAGAAGAATTTGACTTTAACTTTTTAACCTAAAATTATGATAAGACGTATATGCTTTCAACTGTTGGAATTCAGCAGAAAATAGTATTAGTGAGCTGACATATCATGAGCCAGTCCAGAAAAGTCAGAAAAAGCTGTCCAGCCTCAACACATTTGTCAGTACTGATGGTGAAATTTATTGCCGTACTACTACATCACATAATATTATGAGATAAACAAGAATTAAAATTGATTCTGGGAATTATTTAAATAACAGCAATTCTGTCAATTTATTATTAAATCATTATTAAAAAAATATATTATTAACTGTGAGATGAGAAAATCAACAAAAATCTGTAAATTGAAAGAAAATTTGTATTACAGGTGATAGATTGCCCCAACATGTATATACTTGGTGGTTGATTAACCCTCCATTATATTTTGAAAAAAAAAAACTGCTGAAAAAACTACCCTTTTTTGCATTGTAGCAAAATGAATAATATTATTACAGTCAACTCTCTCAATGCGGACACCACTGTAAGGCAGACATCTCTCTAAGGCGGACACCACTGTAAGGCAGACATCTCTCTAAGGCGGACATGGTTGGCTGCGGTCCTGACCAAAATCAAGTTTCTCTTATTTTTCAGTAACAAACTCTCTACAAGACATGCAGACACCTCTTTAAGGCGGACGGCTAGAGCTGGTCCCGAGGATGTCCACCTTAGAGAGAGCTCAACTGTATATATAGTCAACTTACTAGTAGAATGTTGTTTGTTTCAGTTTGTGATGGCCTATCGGGCTGGATAAAAGAAAGTTTCACTTGGTTGGTTTATCCATGGGAGGTTTTGTGGCTGGTATCTTCGCTGCACGCTACTCCTCTCTGCTCTCCTCGTTGGTACTCATGTGCCCTGCTGGAATAAAAGCACCGAAACTGAGTGATTTCTTCTGTCAAATTGCCAATGGTGGAAAGAAACTATCTGTTGCCTGAAAATCCTGAGGATTTTAATTTGATGTTGAAAAAAGTATCCCATCGTAAAATTTTCATACCTTTCTTCATTGTCAAAAATAATGTGTGCAGCTAGACAAACATTCGCGTGCTTTTTTATGAAAAAGGTACATTAATAGCTATTTTTTTAAACACCATTAATGTTTTCATATTTTTGAAGTTGTAGATATCTGCCAGGGCCCGGTTGTTCAAAGGACGATTAAGCTAATTCGGGATTAGTGTGAATATTGATTCCAGTTTTGTAACTTTTCAGTGAGGTTTTCTGTTTATATTTTTTGTCCTTCAGTTTCGTCTTTGAGTAATCTCAAAACTCTACAAAAATTTAGCAGTGAAAAGACACTTTATACAAGAGAAATTTAAACCTCGATTAATTTTTAATCTTGGATTAGCGTTAAGTGGCTTTCGAACAACCGGGCCCGGGCTGGAGTGTAGATACAGAGATTAGGGTTTCCCTATTCTGCAGGCGATTTTCACTGCAAAACAATCATTACTTTTCTTCAAGAATAATAATTATTCTTGGCCTGTTTTCAAAATTTTTTACACCAACTTTTTTTGAAAAGAAAAACCCTGAGAGAAGTAGATGGTGTTATATTGTGTCACCTTTAATCTCTTTAAGGAATGCTAATTTTCTATATACATGAATAGAGTCAGAGAGCCGGGGAGAGTTGAAGTAAGATGAATTAGGGTCACCAATGTTTGTGTAGGGCAAACGGGAAAGACCAGAATAAATTTTGAAACAGTATATTATTAATAGGAAAGGAAGTAGTTAGAGCCTGCCTACAAGTCTAGATGGCCTATCAGGCCGGTGCTTAACTCAGGTTTCCATAGCAATGAAAGCGATCTAGGAGTATCGCTACTCCCCTGGATGGGATGCTAGTCCATCGTAGGTAACCCCCCAGCATTTTTGTCAGGTTGCCCTGACAAAAATTTAGGGGAGTTACCTGCGATGGACCAGCATCCTATCCAAGGGGAGTAGCGATACTCCTAGTCGCACGGAGAGAGGCACTGTGAGAATTACAGTGTCTTGACCAAGAACACAATGACCCTGGCCAGCGCTCGAACCCGGACCGCTTGATCAGGAGTCCAACACACTAACCATTAGGCCACCACGTCTTCCCTGAGGAAGTAGTAATAATGTGTAAAGTAGACAATAAAAGGGTTTTTCATTGCTTTTATTATTCACTTTCTGTCTTTTGCAGTTTTGACTGAAATATCTCATCCTGATCAGAGATTTCTTCTTCATGGATGTTTTGGAAGACATCGATGTTCCTACCCTTGCATTGTGGGGAGGATAATGATGAGGTCAGAAAGCTTTAATAATTTCATTCTACCCTAAAATTTTCTGTTCTAAAATTATTTTATTTTTTCATTTTTTTCTTTTCCTAATCTAATAAATATTAATTAATTATTTGTTAATTTAATTTAATCATTTTTTTCTTACCTTTATAAGCTCTTATCTTCTATGTGTAAATATTATTTATTGTTTACTCAGCTTGATTAGCTTTTTTTCAGTTATTCTGAAGTAAACATTACCTATTTATGTTTTTTTTAAATGAAACTATATTGTAACATTTTTGTAAAAATATGGTAATAAAGTGTGTGAGTGAGTACCCTGTTTCACATTGTATTTTTATTTTGTGGCGTACCTGTAACTACATGTAGCTGGTGCATCCCTGCAGACTTTATTCGTAAAGTCTGTAGGATTGCACCATTACCATAGCTAAGTGTACTGACCTTCTATCTACTGGGGGGGGGGGGGTACTTCCCAAAAATAACCTATATGGGTATGTGCCGCCCAATGGGGTCGTGATTTGGGACTCCTGAATCTAGAACGGGGTATCCATATTTGAGACTTTTCAAAAACGGGCTATTGAAATTTACTAAATTTCTAGAACGGGGTATTAAAAATTGGCCTATTTCTAGAACGGGGTATCATTTTGAATGCAAATTATTTCTACAACAGGGTCCAAATTTGGAGACTTGGGTGGTACATACCCACCCAAAACATACCTGAGTACCCACCACCTGGGTCTATCTAGTCCACAAGAAATAAATATACAGCCTGTATATTCTTTGGATGGTATTTCTGAGAATAAACTGAATGCATTGTATTCTCTTCTTTTAATTAGATCCTTGATGTCTCTGCAGTGGATATCATAAGAGAGAAAGTAAAAGGACTGTGAAATTCAAATTCTAGGACAGTTGCGGTCATGCCATTACCCTTGAAAGACCATGGAGATCAGCAAAGTTGATCTTACAGTTTATAAATTCATTGGCTCAGAGAGGATGAATGAAGAAACTCTAAAGAGGAGAGTCCATATGTAACAGTTACAACTACATGAATATTCGTTTGACTTAGAAAGTTTGTAGTTGAGGCAGGTGACAGTTATTTCAAAGATTTAATGGGAAGTACAATTATGTATGTATCACCCTCCCTCAAAGATAGGCGCGGCAGACCCGAGATGTCTGTAACAGGTGTGAAAGGTATAAAAAATAATATACAAATTTGTAGGACCTTGTAGCGCTCAAATTCAATATAGGTTTTCAATGCCACAATGCCACCAATGAGAAAATGACTGAAGTTTTTAGGTAGGTAGGTAAAAATCTTTATTTAGGCAGGGTGGCCCATTCAGCTCTAGGCTGGTATGCATAGGGGCCCTGCCTCTAATAAGAAGCTATAAAAAAAATATAATGCTAATTATAATAATAGGCTAAAAAATACGTTACTAAGAAGTTATGATGAAAAGAAATGTTTTGCTAGGCGGCAGAAAGTCTTTATGTTATCGACATTTACTATATTTACAGGGAGTTCGTTTAAAAATTTTCGCGCCACTAAAAAGGAAGGTATTTTTCCCAGAATTTAATTTAACCTTTGGTAGGGATAGCCTAATGCTCTGTCTTTTTAAGACTGTAAAACATAACCTTTATTGTTGTCCTGGTATTTTTTAACGATTGTTTTGAGGATTCCTTCACTCAATGTGATTTGGTATTTTGCAAAATGACTTGGAAGTTATCTAGCCTGCTCACAGACGTTTATTTTTTTCGTAAGATACAGGCGCGCGCGCCGAGGCGACACGCGCGCCAGTATCTTACGAAAAAAATAAACGTCTGTGGAAACAGGCTAGGAGTTATCGTGATACATATGAAAAGTGACTGGAATGATCGGGTGTGGCTCGAAGAGATATTAGCTAATATAATGTTGATGACCGAAAACGGCGGTCGTTAGCTATAGATTAGTTTTTTTATTTATTAAGAATATATATTTTATTATCTGGACAATGTAAAATATCCTACCACATAATGTAAAATAATAAAATAATTTTAACGGAAGCTTGTTATTTACACTCGGTCGAACTTCACATAAGCGGACATTGTGTAGCCTGTGATCAGGCAAATTTTTCCTCGTTAAAAGCGCACAAGGGTCTGATCGCAGAATGTAGCCTGCGAATCTTCTCATCGCTGCCGCGCAACGTCGCAAGCCATGTCGGCGGAGAGGGAAACGTGAAACACTTATACAGTAGAGCCCCCATCAAGCGGACACCCTCGGGACAAAGAAAAGACAAAGACAAAGATTATATGAGTGTTTTTTGCCGGGACAAAAGGAGGTGTCCCCTTAAAAGGAGGTGTCCCAAACCCCCCCCCCCCCCCCCCCCCCCCCCCCCAAAGTAGAGGTTCCGCTATACAATATATAGAGGTTATTCAGCGGAAAGTTGTGTAATACGGCTGGGTATTTTTACGAGTCAGTTTTATTTTTTCGAGCCTTTAGGCGAGAAAAATAAACACTGACGAGTAAAAAATGCCCCAGCCGTATTACACAACTTTCCGCTGAATAAAATTGTTTATTATACGACATAATTCTTTCCAAAAATATAGGCTTTCAACAGAGTTTTCCGTAGCGCGCGGTCAGGGGGATGAGACCCGTGAATACGGTCTCATATTTGCTCTCGTCTTTGTGCGTATTCGCCACTCTAAAACGTCACGTCGTGTAAATAATGCTATTATCAACTTGAAGTGAGCGAATTTGCAAAGCTATAGCAATAATCATAGCTGCACTGGAAATCCGTCTGCGTTCGTAGGTAAGCTCACGCTAGAACTAGACTACGAGTAGTCCCTCATTTCTGTCAGGGATCGAGCGGGCGAGCGCGCACGAAGCGCGTGGAAATCCCCTCCCTCTCGTAGTCTACGCTGGAACCCACCCAAATTATGGTCGAAAATTAACAGGCGCATTGCGCGGCGCATTCTAACTTTTTGCGCGAGTTAGCTACACGCGCACGCGGCGGCGGAAAGAAGAATCATTGGCGGTTTTTTTCTTTCCGCGCGTCAAAACCGACTTTCCTAAAGACCGCAACGGCTTTAGACTGCAAGCAGTCTCTTTCTTTCCTTATGTTTTCTAGGGCATATAACATTTCCGCTCGCGCCAAAGATCTGAGGAGAAAAGACCGACTGCTCGCAGTTTACAAACGGCTTGAAAGGCAGAGCAGTAGCTTAGAACTTGTTTTTGGAAAATAAATGCGAATTGCTTAAACATCGGAAACTGTTGAAACGTGCAGCTTATGCCCGTTTATAGAACTGATAGATGTTTGGTCCTATAGACTTTTTTATAACATTTGGTGGCTCCTAAAGGAGCCGTTTGTTTTGGGCGCCGGAAACCCGCAGAGTGATTGTTACTTGCTGGCCTGGTTGTACTTGGTCACAGCCTTGGTTCCTTCACTGACTGCGTGTTTGTCCAGTTCACCGGGCAGAAGCAGCCTGATGGCGGTCTGGATCTCGCGGGAGCTGATGGTTGATTTCTTGTTGTAGTGGGCAAGGCGGGAAGCTTCGGTGGCGATTGCGCTCGAAGATGTCGTTGACGAACGAATTCATGATGCCCATGGCTTTGCTGGAGATACCAGTGTCAGGGTGAACTTGCTTCAACACCTTGTAGATGTAGATAGCATAGCTTTCCTTTCTCTTAGCCCTTCTCTTCTTCTTTCCGCCTTCAACCACGGCCTTTGCCTTTCCGGCTTTCTTCTCGCCTTTCTTTCCTGCTACTTTGGGTGCCATGTCTGTAGATCAGAATGGATTTGGAATGCCCAACAACACGACTCGTCTTCTATTTATACTGGGACGAGAAAAAGATCTATTAACCAAAGGATCGAAATCCTCGATAGATGATTGGTTGATTGCCAAACTGACCCTCGAGATCAAGTTTCCTTTGTATGTCATTTCCTTTTATACAAACCACATTACCACAACGAGGTTTTTGATTGGTGCTTTTCGATCCTTCTTGCATAATAACAAGCTATAAATATCAATGTTTGCTAAATGATGCAGTAATCTTCCATATACGATTATTGTGAAATATCAAACATGTCTGGTCGCGGTAAAGGAAAGGCAAAGGGCACCAAGTCCAAGACCGCTCATCCCGAGCAGGGCTTCAGTTCCCAGTCGGTCGTATCCATCGTCTTCTCCGCAAAGGCAACTATGGTGAGCGTCTTGTTGGCGCCGGTGCTCCAGTGTACTTGGCTGCTGTGCTCGAGTATTTGAGCGCTGAGATTCTTGAGTTGGCGGGCAACGCTGCTCGTGACAACAAGAAGTCCAGAATCATCCCCGTCACCTTCAGCTGGCTGTCCGTAATGACGAAGAGTTGAACAAACTGCTCGCCGGTGTCACCATCGCACAGGGAGGTGTTCTTCCCAACATTCAGGCCGTACTTCTGCCCAAGAAGACCGAGAAGAAGGCGAAAGCTTAAATCAGCTTTCAGTTACAAACAAAAACGGCTCCTTTAGGAGCCACCAAAACATTAATAAAGTCTTGACCAACATCATGACATGCTACTTTCCCAAAATAAGCTACCTTTATTTGTTTTAAAAACACTGTGGTTAAAATGACCGGCAGCCGGTCAAGGTCTTCAAAACACTAACTGACTTGCAGTCCGAATTGATAAGTCGATTAAGAAGCGATTCAGAAGAGCGCTATCTCAAGTTTACGTTGCCATAATACACAACGTTCTTACTGCGCCATTTGGTGACCTCTGCCGAAAATTGATAGTACATTGTTTGAAAACAATGTACGATCAAACTGAACACGATATAGGAGTTTACAAATTCTCTAGAGAAAAAAAAACGTGCTCT